CAGCACAAATTTTGCTCCGGTGATCGCTGACTCACTAATTTTGAATTTCATTTCACTTTTTTCAAAGGTTGGTGTATTATCATTGATATCTGTGATCTGGACTGTGACCGTGTAAAACTCCATAGGATTCTCTAAAACAATCTGAAAATGTAAAGCGCACAGCGCGGTCTCTGTGCACAACACCTCTCTGTCGATTCTCTCTTTGACGAGGAGGACTCCCCTTTCTCTGTTCAGCTCGATGTACTCGTCGCTGTTCCGAGTGTAGATCTTAGCTTTACCTGATATCAAACGTTTTATTTCTAAACCTAAATCTTGTGCTATATTGCCCACTAAAGAGCCTTTCGCCATTTCCTCTGGTATGGAGTAGCTGACCTGCCCGAACACTGAGCCAAGGGAAAGGAGAGAGATAAACAACAGTACTTGCCCATTCATTGTTCTATGCGATTTTTCGCATGAGGCTCCGGTCTGCTTGTATTCCAAAAATAACTAAACAGATACCCCTTAGATTCCAATGTCAAATCTCAAAGTAACATATGCATAACTCAGTGACGGGAAGCAAATGTCTTGCAGGCCGAAATATCTCCCGTTATTAAAAATAAAAATGTTCCACAAGCAGGACTGTCCGTTCTTCGCCCGTCGTGTTCTCTCTGTATTGTGTCGATGTTACATGGGAGGTGCTGCTACAACACTGCTCTCATCCATCTACACTCTGGTCAACAGCGGCCCTAAGAGTCCATATGATAAAACTGCAGAACACCAACTAAAATCAACTCGGGAGCGCTGACGTAAACCTCCTGGACACTGTTACAATACATGTGATATCCTGGACATACCAAAGGACTGCAAGATAAAGACATGACTGATATTCATAATGTTTACTGTCTAGGTCAGTATAATAACACATTTAAACAGAATACATACACAGACTCTGTTTATCAGGTCTTGCAGATGTATCAGAGACCGGGCTGGATATAAAATTCAATTGAAAGATTGGAAGGAGACAAAAAGCTCTGAAAACAAAGCGTTCTTTACATAATAATAAGTATCGGTAAATAAGGAGAAGAAAGAAGAAGACGCCGATATTAAAAGTGTGAAAACAGCAGTTAACCCACAGGATACCCATGTGGCTGCTCTATTTATGTCGCTGTCCACAGTTCTGAAGTAAAACAACCCTGAATGGGTGCTGAAAAAGCCAGACTGCACACGATGTTCGAATAATGTGATCCAACATAGCTCAAACAAATCTGGAAACATTTTGAAACCTGTGTATAAAAAATAAAATAAATTAAATTTAGATTTATTGTCCCAGATGAATATTTGTTTTAAAAGCCAATTCAGCACAGAAACAGTGATTCATATACTTCTTATAGTATCACTACTACTACTATGAGTAATAAATGTTAAAATTATTACTATTGAAACAATACATCGTTTCTTTCAAGAAGACAGGTTGAAGTTCAAATTACTTGGAAATTCCTTTGAGCAATGAACACCTGGGGTAGTGCCAAAATGCCAGAAAAGTAACTAGTTTAATTAGGGCGTAAAAAACCTGTGCCCCAAGCACAAAATGTCCCACAATATGGTATGCTCACATTGAAGTATACACTATCAAGATACTCTATAAGTGCCAATATAAAACTGAAACACTGAATAAACTAAAAATTTAACTATACTGCATGTACAAGTACAAAGAAGTTGCTATTTTAAAGATAAATTGATAAAAAGTTCACATAGAGGCCGAGGACTGTTGCTGTGAATCGCCACTGCTCAACACTTAAGAATCCTGTGGCCGCGCATAAAACATGGATATGTCATTAGTTTTAGTTGCATCATTATTTTTGGGAAACTAACCTCTAGAGGAGAGTCTGGCTCATCCAGGATGCTCGTTTCACTCTGTATCCGCTGCATCGTCCCTGTAGAACTGGGGTCCATTATCAGCACGTTCTGACTACCAGCTCTGCCGAACTTACAGTCACTCTTTCTGGAGTCAGTCGTCCTGCACACCTCGTAGTTGTACACGTGCTGGAGAGTCCCTGTCCCCAAAGTGTCTGAGTAACGTGGTGGATAATACGGAATCACAGGGAGATTGGAGTGATACAGGACGCGAGACTGTCTCCATCTGTAGATTTTCACTGATATAATAACCACTAAACACGTGATGAAGAGGAAGGAAACTACAGCCAAAGCCAGCACTAAGTAAAAAGTCAGGTTGTCATTGTACTCCTTGTCGTGTGTAAAGTCAGTGAACTCCGACAGCACTTCAGGGAAGCTGTCCGCCACCGCCACGTTAACAATGACTGTAGCTGAACGAGAGGGCTGCCCGTTGTCCTCCACTATAACAGTCAGTCTTTGTTTCACAGCATCTTTATCAGTCACTTGGCGGATAGTTCTTATTTCTCCATTCTGTAAGCCCACTTCAAACAGCGCCCTGTCTGTGGCTTTCTGCAGTTTATAGGAGAGCCAGGCATTCTGTCCAGAGTCCACATCAACAGCCACCACTTTAGTGACCAGATAGCCCACATCTGCTGAACGAGGCACCATTTCAGCCACCAGAGAGCCACCAGTCTGGACTGGGTACAGAACCTGAGGGGGGTTGTCGTTCTGGTCCTGGATCATTATTTTCACAGTCACGTTGCTACTGAGTGGAGGGGAGCCTCCATCCTGCGCTTTGACGCGGAACTGGAAGTCTTTGATCTGCTCGTAGTCAAAAGAGCGCACTGCATGGATGACTCCACTATCAGCACTAACGGACACATATGAGGAGACTGGCACTCCGTTAACAGAGGAGTCCTCCAGTATGTAAGAAACACGCGCATTCTGGTTCCAGTCAGCGTCTCTGGCTTTCACTGTGAATATAGAGAGGCCTGGTGTGTTGTTTTCTACAATGTAGGCCTCATATGAGCTCCTCTCAAAGACAGGCGCGTTGTCATTCACATCAGAGATCTGTAAGGTGAGAGTGACGCTGCTGGAGAGGGAGGGCACTCCCTCATCAGAGCAGGTCACTGTTATATTATACTCAGAGGCTGTCTCTCTGTCTAAATCATTGTCTGTCACTAAGCTATAGAAACCACTGGAAGTAGATTTTATTATAAACGGAACGTTTTCACCGAGGACACACTTGACTACCCCGTTATCGTCGGAGTCAGGATCATGTACTGTCATTACAGCTATAACGGTGTGGGAGGGAGAGCTTTCTGGAATTAAACGTGACTTTGATATAACATCGATGAAGGGCTTGTTGTCATTAATATCAATTATATCTACCACTAACTTACTAGAATTTGACAGCCCTCCTTGATCCCTAGCTTCAATATCGATTTGATATTGTTTTGACTTTTCGTAATCAACGTCGCCTATCACACGCACATCACCACTGCTTTCGTCTATTTCAAAATGATTCAGAATTCCCACCGTGCTACTTGACATTGAATATGTTACTAAGCCATTTGAACCGTAATCTACATCTAATGCACTTACTGTAATTAATAATGTACCTTTAGGGGAATTTTCCTGCAAACGAGCCCTGTAAATTGTCTGTGTAAATACAGGAGCGTTGTCGTTTGCGTCTAAAACTGTAACGTGGATCTGCACAGTTCCGGACATCTTTGGGTCACCCCCATCATTAGCAGTTAGCAGCAGAGATATCTGCTCTTCTCTCTCTCGGTCCAACGGTTTCTGTAAAACCATTTCTACCTTTTTACTATCATCAGCTTGACCATACAACTTTAAAATGAAATTATCGGTAGGATAGAGTGAGTAACTTTGGAGGCCATTCATCCCGATGTCCGAATCAAAGGCCCTTTCAAGAACAAATTTTGCACCCATCATGGCGGACTCGCTTATGTCAAATTTCATTGAATCTTTCTGAAAATGAGGAGCATTGTCATTAATATCAAGAATTTCGACGGTGACCCTGTAAAATTCTATGGGATTTTCCATAATGATCTGCAAATGCAAAGCACACGGCGTTGTCTGTCCGCATAATGCTTCTCTGTCTATTCTTTCTTTGATCAGCAGCACCCCTCTTTCTCTATTCAGCTCGATGTATTCTGCGTTATTTCCAGTATGCAGGCGAGCTTTGCCGGATTTTAATCTTTTTATATCCAAACCTAAATCTTGTGCTATATTACCAACGAAAGAGCCTGCCGCCATTTCCTCCGGAATGGAGTAACTAACCTGCCCGAACACAGAGCCGAGAGAGAGGAAGGAAATAAACCACAGTACTTGCCGTTTCATTGTTCTCTCTGACACACAGTAGGTATTTTGCGCCACGAATCGTTGAAGTCGTTTTTGTATAATATCCGTCGCCTACAGATTCAGATTGGATTTAAAAAGCAAACAAACAAAGAAATCCAAAATCATTGGTTATAACGTCCACAATATCTCCAATTCCTCAAGAAATAATGTTGATGCCAGTTTAGATCTCTGTGTAACACGGACTTGTGAGTTCTGCTTCTGGCTGGCACACACTAATAAAGCCAGATGATGAAAGAGGTTCCACTGTGAGCCTTGAGTTATAATGCAACCCACTGGCCAACAGCGTCACTCTCCGTCCACCACTCTGAATTGCACAAACTAAATAAAACATACACTGAGTGTACATGCAGAGTAAATAATACGAACCACAAAAAAAAAAAAAAAATGCATATAAGAAGTGTGTCTGTAAATTGTTGGGTCTCTGTAAATTATATTGTAAAGAGTACGCTCTATATTATGAAAAGTGCCCTAGATAACATCTGTTATGATTTGGCGCTATATAAATGGAGTTGGAAAAGTTAAATTAAACCTATTCATAAGACATGTTCAGAGATTGTTTCAGTTACTCGTTATTAGGAAAAATAAATCTGGAAAAATGAATCTGGATTTATAACAATAGATGAAAGAACTTATATTCAGTGTGAAAATCAACTGTGCTGTAATTCACACCGTCCAGAAGAGGAGAAAAAAGAGAGGGCCTTGGCTGAAATAAATAAACAGCAAACGCATTGCAACTCATACCTCTAGAGGAGAGTCTGGTTCATCCAGATGCTCGTTTCACTCTGTATCCGCTGCATCGTCCCTGTAGAACTGGGGTCCATTATCAGCACGTTCTGACTACCAGCTCTGCCGAACTTACAGTCACTCTTTCTGGAGTCAGTCGTCCTGCACACCTCGTAGTTGTACACGTGCTGGAGAGTCCCTGTCCCCAAAGTGTCTGAGTAACGTGGTGGATAATACGGAATCACAGGGAGATTGGAGTGATACAGGACGCGAGACTGTCTCCATCTGTAGATTTTCACTGATATAATAACCACTAAACACGTGATGAAGAGGAAGGAAACTACAGCCAAAGCCAGCACTAAGTAAAAAGTCAGGTTGTCATTGTACTCCTTGTCGTGAGTAAAGTCAGTGAACTCCGACAGCACTTCAGGGAAGCTGTCCGCCACCGCCACGTTAACAATGACTGTAGCTGAACGAGAGGGCTGCCCGTTGTCCTCCACTATAACAGTCAGTCTTTGTTTCACAGCATCTTTATCAGTCACTTGGCGGATAGTTCTTATTTCTCCATTCTGTAAGCCCACTTCAAACAGCGCCCTGTCTGTGGCTTTCTGCAGTTTATAGGAGAGCCAGGCATTCTGTCCAGAGTCCACATCAACAGCCACCACTTTAGTGACCAGATAGCCCACATCTGCTGAACGAGGCACCATTTCAGCCACCAGAGAGCCACCAGTCTGGACTGGGTACAGAACCTGAGGTGGATTGTCGTTCTGGTCCTGGATCATTATTATCACAGTCACGTTGCTACTGAGTGGAGGGGAGCCTCCATCCTGCGCTTTGACGCGGAACTGGAAGTCTTTGATCTGCTCGTAGTCAAAAGAGCGCACTGCATGGATGACTCCACTATCAGCACTAACGGACACATATGAGGAGACTGGCACTCCGTTAACAGAGGAGTCCTCCAGTATGTAAGAAACACGCGCATTCTGGTTCCAGTCAGCGTCTCTGGCTTTCACTGTGAATATAGAGAGGCCTGGTGTGTTGTTTTCTACAATGTAGGCCTCATATGAGCTCCTCTCAAAGACAGGCGCGTTGTCATTCACATCAGAGATCTGTAAGGTGAGAGTGACGCTGCTGGAGAGGGAGGGCACTCCCTCATCAGAGCAGGTCACTGTTATATTATACTCAGAGACTGTCTCTCTGTCTAATTCACCTTCTGTCACTAATGTAAAGAAATTATTTGACGATGAAGTGATTGCAAAATTAATATTTTCATTTAAAACGCAGTGGACCTTGCCATTTTCATCTGAATCTGGATCCTGAACGTTCATCATTGTCAGAACCGTGCCTGGCTTAACATCCTCAGATATACTGGATGACGCTGACATAATATTGATAACTGGTGGATTATCGTTTGTGTCCAACACCTCAATTACAACTTTACATACGTCTGAGTTACCACCTTCATCTGATGCTTGAACATCTATCTCATAATGCCGAAATTTCTCATAATCAAGTGTTCCCACTAACGTGAACACCCCGCTGTCTTTATCTACATCGAATAAGCCTAATGCCCCCTTTGGAACATTAGAAATCGAATATTGTATATGCCCGTGTGGGCCTATATCTGCATCAGATGCGCTCACCGTAGTAAGAACAGCTCCTTTCAAGGAATGTTCTTTTACATTTGTCTTGTACTCTGTTTGAGTACAAACAGGTGCATTATCGTTCGCGTCCAATACATTTATGACAATCAATATGGTCCCAGAGAGCTGCGGGTCGCCACCATCAAAAGAAGTCAGTACTAAAGACAACAGCTCCTGTTTCTCTCGGTCAAGATGTTTCTTTAAAACCATCTCAACATTCCTACTGCTGCCAATTTTATAAGGGTTTAAAGTGAATGTGTCACTGGAACTCAGCGAATAACCCTGTAGACCATTAATACCTACATCGTCATCAGATGCCTTTTCTAAAACAAATTTCGATCCAATTTGAGCCGTTTCACTTATGTCAAATTGCATTTCACTGTTTTTAAAACCGGGTGCGTTATCGTTAATGTCGGTGATCTCGACAGTTATGCTGTAAAATTGCATAGGATTCTCCAATATTATTTGAAAATCAAGAGCGCAGGGCGTCGTCTGTCCGCAGAGCGCTTCTCTGTCTATCCGCTCTTTGATTACAAGGACTCCCCTTTCTTTATTTAGCTCGATGTATTCCGTACTTTCTCCGGTATATATGCGAGCTTTCCCTGATTTCAGCCGTTTTACATCTAAACCTAAATCCTGAGCTATGTTACCGACCAAAGATCCTTTCGCCATCTCCTCTGGAATGGAATAGCTGACCTGCCCAAAAACCGAGCTGAGAGAAACAACCGAGATAAACAACACGAGGCTTACTTGCCGTGTCATTGTCCTGTCCGACATTCTCCCGTTGATGAAAAGGTAGTATCAAATTCGTTATCCAGTAAAAAGGATTTTAGACACAGATGTCAGTAAAATAATCAAGAATCCACACTCCCAATAATGCTGATAATTCGCCTGGTAGCTCCGTGTTTAATCATCTCCCTCTTCCAAAAGGTGCCTTTAATTCCTTTTTCTTTTTCTCCGTAACATTTCGAGATGATGGGGGAGGTACAGCTGCAATGAGCCCTGAAATTTCAACAGACTGGTCAACAGCGTCCCTGTGAGTTGGATGCACTGAACTACACATTACACAGACATTCAAGATTTTAACGGGGTCGATCACAATCTGTGTTCAATATGTAAATAATGTTTACACGTTGATTACTAACACAATTACAAATAGCTTGCTGTGCAAATCAGTGAAATGTGACACACACACGAGCACGATTGTCCAGCTACTGTACTGAAAAGGGGAAAGTACACAACAGTGCAATGCCTCAATTAAGTATCCCGCATGTAGCGCTATCCAAGGTGCTGGCAGGCACTCACAAGAAAGACAGAGGGAACAAGAACACAGCAAGTTTAACCCTCAAAGTGTAAATACATGTAGGTGACTTTAATTCAGATTTGCTGTGGACGCAATAGTATAAGGACATAAAAGATAAAAAGAACAATTCTGAAGGAAGAACGCTGTATAACTAATGTGGCCAATCCATGCTATTTTGCAGATTAAATGGGACATGACTTGTTTCGCAATTTGATTATTTTAAAATATTGGTATTGGTTCAGTTTTATGGAATACTTGAGTACTGACATAATATACACTGTAAAACCAAGGCATTGAACCTAGAGTAGACAATTTATTTAAAAATCACTGTTATATATTGTTAAATTCCCTTTACATCCAGACAGCAATCAATAAATAATGCTCTGACAATAAAATGAAAAAAAAAATCATTGTGGCTGACTAATGATTGGCTAGCCTACCTGCTTGTCTGCCTACCTACCTGCACACACTCTGCCCATGCACTCATTGCGCTTGAAAATGCGATCTTGGGTAGTGGCTTTGAAGGGAGGACTGAAAGGATGGGGGGCGGAAACTTTCAAAATCTAGCTATCTCTTGTTAGTTTCTCCAACGTTACCTACCTTAGCTTTGATTACACGTCAGTTTCTTTCAAAAATATCGCTCTGGTTTACGTCCATAAAACAACAAATGCTCACATTAGCAGAATTTACATAATAAGTGACGTGAAGTCACGATTAACTACGGCTATTGAGAAAGTATCTGGCAAGGCCAATTATTTGGATTGACACAAAGTACTGTATCTAATAGTAAAACATAACACTGAATTGCAAATTCATATAACTTTATAAAAAGACAAAGCCAACCTCTAGAGGTGAGTCTGGTTCATCCAGGATGCTCTTTTCACTCTGTATCCGCTGCATCGTCCCTGTAGAACTGGGGTCCATTATCAGCACGTTCTGACTACCAGCTCTGCCGAACTTACAGTCACTCTTTCTGGAGTCAGTCGTCCTGCACACCTCGTAGTTGTACACGTGCTGGAGAGTCCCTGTCCCCAAAGTGTCTGAGTAACGTGGTGGATAATACGGAATCACAGGGAGATTGGAGTGATACAGGACGCGAGACTGTCTCCATCTGTAGATTTTCACTGATATAATAACCACTAAACACGTGATGAAGAGGAAGGAAACTACAGCCAAAGCCAGCACTAAGTAAAAAGTCAGGTTGTCATTGTACTCCTTGTCGTGTGTAAAGTCAGTGAACTCCGACAGCACTTCGGGGAAGCTGTCCGCCACCGCCACGTTAACAATGACTGTAGCTGAACGAGAGGGCTGCCCGTTGTCCTCCACTATAACAGTCAGTCTTTGTTTCACAGCATCTTTATCAGTCACTTGGCGGATAGTTCTTATTTCTCCATTCTGTAAGCCCACTTCAAACAGCGCCCTGTCTGTGGCTTTCTGCAGTTTATAGGAGAGCCAGGCATTCTGTCCAGAGTCCACATCAACAGCCACCACTTTAGTGACCAGATAGCCCACATCTGCTGAACGAGGCACCATTTCAGCCACCAGAGAGCCACCACTCTGGACTGGGTACAGAACCTGAGGGGGTTGTCGTTCTGGTCCTGGATCATTATTTTCACAGTCACGTTGCTACTGAGTGGAGGGGAGCCTCCATCCTGCGCTTTGACAGTGAACACAAGCTGCTTGATCTGTTCATAATCAAATGAGCGAACTGCATGTAAAATTCCAGTTTCAGAGTTTATGGACACATAAGAAGAAACTGGGCTGCCACTGATCTGCATGTCCTCCAGAAAGTATGAAATTCTTGCGTTTTGATTCCAGTCAGAATCTCGTGCGCTCACACTGAATATTGGCATCCCAGGGACATTATTTTCAATTATATCGGCAGAATAATTTGGTTTAGTAAAGAGCGGAGCATTATCGTTGACATCGGAAATTCTTAGGTTTAAAGTTGTTTTGATAGAAAGTGGGGGTGACCCTGAATCGGTTGCGGTTATGGTTATGTTGTATTCTGGTTTCGTTTCACGGTCAAAAGGTATATCTGAAAGCAAATTGTAATAATTAGTCAAAGAGGACCGGATTTTAAAGGGGAGACTGGAATCTATTGAGCATGTAATCTGACCGTTTCTTTCAGAGTCTGCATCTTTAACATTAAAAACAGCTATAGTCGTGCCCGGAGGAACATCCTCTGAGATTAGCCTGGAGAAGGACATTATATTTACTACCGGAGCATTATCATTTATGTCAGTGACCTCAATGACAACTTTGGTTGCGTCACTTAGGCCACCCTGGTCTTTAGCGATCACTCTTATTTCGTATTTTTTGTCTTTTTCGAAATCAATATTATCAGCAACTGTTATTTTGCCTGATGAACTGTCAATTTGAAAGAGTTCACCAGACTTCCCATTTACATTAGAAAAAGTATATGTAACCAGGCCATTAGACCCACTGTCGGCATCTGAAGCATTCACAGTAGCTATATAGGTGCCTATGGGTGCATTCTCTGTAACAGCAGCAGTGTACAGTGATTGATTAAATACAGGGCGATTATCATTGACATCAATAACAGTAATATGGATATTTACTGTACCAGAACGCGGTGGAGTTCCTCCGTCTACTGCTATCAGCTTTAAAGAGAGGTGTGGATTCAGCTCCCTGTCTAATGGCTTCTGTAAAATCATTACAGCGAGTTTGATTCCATCAGCGTTGGAGTGTTGCTTCAAAACGAAATTCTCATTTGGGGATAACACATAATTTTGCAAGGTGTGACTCCCTGCATCGGGGTCATATGCGCTTTCTAAGTCGAAATGCGATCCTATCGTTGCAGATTCACTGATTTCTAGATTAATTACAGTATTTTTGAACGTTGGCGCATGATCGTTCACGTCTAATATTTCTACTGTTACCCTGTGCAGTTCGATTGGATTTTCTAAAATAATTTCGAAGCTGAAGCTGCACGGTGTCACGTCTCCACAAAGCTCTTCTCGGTCGATTCTCTCATTCACAACTAGAATCCCTTTGTCTGCTTTTAGCTCAGTGTACTGGTTGTTTTCTCCGGTCACGATACGGGCCCGACCAGAACGGAGCCTTTTCAGATCCAAACCAAGATCTTGTGCAACGTTACCGATAAGAGAACCTTTCTTCATCTCTTCCGGTATTGAATAGCGGATTTGGCCGTTGATGGAGGAAATCATGAAGACAAAAATTAACAGTTGCCACGTAAGTGTCCAAGACAACAGCCATTTTTCGCATCGATGCTGGCGTATCCCCATGGCGTAAAGAATAAAATCCCAAATGGAACGGCAAATTATACCACACTGCTACACACCTAGACGAAAGGTGCATTCCAGTTTAATAGTGCTGCATTTCTGTCGAGCAAAACCGCTCTGTTAAATGCTGTTTCAAAGCGACTGTCTTTACATCGAAAGCCTCCCTGTATGGAGAGTGTTCCTCCCTCTCCTCTTTCTCTCCTCTGTGACAGCCCTGACACCACTAGACTCTGTTTTAATGACCAACAGCGTCCCTTAGAGTCGAAACGGAGGAAAGAACTCGGTCAACTGCAATTAGGTAAAACAATTATATATATGAAATCTACTGTGGGAACTGACATGAAGAAAAATAACTTATTGCCACAAAAAAATAATAGATGAAGATAACAACCCAGAATGTAACTTGAAATCACTCACTCCACACATAATCAAATCACAGACAGAAAGTCAGCGATTTAGAGCAGCGTCAGCAAATCAGTCTCAATGTTTGGAACTGTCTATCACACCAGTGCTGAATATGAGAATAGAGATTATTTATTGAGGGGTAAATTCTACCTATAATTCGAATTGTAGAAGTTAGAGAGGAATAGCAACTACAAAGGAAATAAAATGTACATTATAGTTAAAAAAAACTACAGAATCATTAAAAAGGGCATTTCTGATTGTCAGTACTTAGCATTTTTCTAATGCAGCAAAAAACAAGAAAAACACAAAATGCAACTATGTAAAATCAATGTTCGTATAAAATAATAGTTGTTTGAGAATGCAGATAATGTTATCTTTTTCAAGTTCTGAATTTAAATCCAGAGGCAGGTAATGCAAAGGGGGTGCTGATCGTGGTGCTGAAAATAAGGGTAAAGTGCGCAACAGTTCACTATCATAGTAAATAACAAAGAAAGAGAAAAAAAACGGCACAGAGATGCAGCTACATTGTTTAACTAACCTCTAAAGGAGAGTCTGGTTCATCCAGGATGCTCTTTTCACTCTGTATCCGCTGCATCGTCCCTGTAGAACTGGGGTCCATTATCAGCACGTTCTGACTACCAGCTCTGCCGAACTTACAGTCACTCTTTCTGGAGTCAGTCGTCCTGCACACCTCGTAGTTGTACACGTGCTGGAGAGTCCCTGTCCCCAAAGTGTCTGAGTAACGTGGTGGATAATACGGAATCACAGGGAGATTGGAGTGATACAGGACGCGAGACTGTCTCCATCTGTAGATTTTCACTGATATAATAACCACTAAACACGTGATGAAGAGGAAGGAAACTACAGCCAAAGCCAGCACTAAGTAAAAAGTCAGGTTGTCATTGTACTCCTTGTCGTGTGTAAAGTCAGTGAACTCCGACAGCACTTCAGGGAAGCTGTCCGCCACCGCCACGTTAACAATGACT